TTTGAGGATATTTTGTCACAACAGTGCTTAGACGAGCAATGCGCACTCTCTATAGAACATCCCACAGCCCTGGTAAAAATTAGTTAGTAACAGTTAGTAACAGTTAGAAACAGATAGAATTTCTGACGGTATGTAACGGAATTCTATCCGCTATAACTGCAAGCTTGAAAAGAAAATTCTAGCCCTATCCGTTTCTGTAAGCAGCACTATTGTATCTGCAAATACAGACAGAAAATGTAACGACGTATAACTGTATCTAATGGAAATCTATCGGCATACAGCATCTATAAGCTTTTGCAATAGAAAAACTTGTCTGTTTCTGTCCGCATTCTGTACGCATCAGATACTGACGGTATCTATCCGTAATTGCGGATATCGCATCCATCTGCATCTGTACGCAATGTCGACCTATAGGAATTTGTCTGCAACTACGGATACGAATCCTGTCTGTTTTTGTCCGCATTCTGTACGCATCAGATGTTGACGGTATCTATCCGTAATTGCGGATACCGCATCCATCTGCATCTGTACGCAATGTAGACCTACAGGAATTTATCTGCAACTACGAATACAAATCCTGTATGTTTCTATCCGCAGTCTGTACGCATCAGATGCTGACGGTATCTATCCGTAATTGCGGATACCGCATCCATCTGCATCTGTATGCAATGCCAACCTATAGGAATCTGTCTGTAACTACGGATACGATTCCTGCCTGTTTCAGATAGGAGTTGAATTTTTTCTTCAACGTTGCTGTTAGAGCAAACAGGATTTCTTTAGATATTACCAGCGACTATATCAGCGACTATATAACAGCAACGTTGAAGAAATATTCAACTTCTATCTAAAACAGACAGGAATCGTATCCGTATAGTTACAAACAGATTCCTATAGGTTGGCATTGCATACTGTTCGCGAAATCGCTGACTTTTCCCGGTGATGGAAGCGGGATGAGAAGGACGCGCGTGGAAGGTGTTAACTAATTGATTCCTTTATTTTTTGTGTAACTCAGACCACAGTCTGAGGTCTGAGCCGTCAAAATGATACAATCTGACCTGAGAAATGATGAGCGGTGAACAAATGAGATGTCTTTCGAGTCCGTATATGCGAGAGGCAATTATATTAATCGCCGTCCTCTTCGATGAATCGCCCGTGAGCCGGTGAGACACGTGGCGGTCGGCACTCGCGCACGTGTGAGCTTGAGTTGTCGTGTTGAGGCACCAGAGCTGATGAGCGGTCTATTTCACACGTTGAGAGAAGATCTAGGCAGCGTGGTAACTGCGATATGCACTCTTAACCGGAGTCACAATGCAAAAACGTACAGAGCACACGTTACGCGTCTCGTCACAGCGCGGCCATTTGTACAAGTGTCTCGATCGCGAGGAAGACGTTGGCGATGAGCGCGCCCGTGCGTGCGCAAGCTGCCGCGGTGATTTAGCGTCGCTACCCGATCGATGCTGCCATCTGATCGGACGCAACGTTAACGGAATCTCGAACATTCCGCCCGCCATCAGCAACCTTGTTGATGATTCCTTACTCTTGATCCTTCATCCGGTTGAAATGGGTAATATGGCAAGCTTGGCACTTGGCCGAGTGAGTGTCGTGGTGGCCATCTTGAGAGTAACCACCCTGGTGAGTCCATCCTTGCCGGGATGCAAAGCTGTTACTCTGGCGAGTGGCCATTTGCACGGTGGAGAGCGTTCGTCGGTGAGCAGCACGATGGAACCCACCTTGATGTTGTTGTTAGAATGATGCCACTTGGATATCGCCTGCTGGCGTTGCAGATAATGAGCCGACCATTGTGCCCAAAAAAGTTGAACACGCTGCTGGATGAGCTGCTGGATGAGCCACCGAGATAGTCGTGAGGTTGCTAGGTCAATCAGAGATGGCTCGGGTATGGTAGTGATTGGACCTCCAATGAGGAAATGACCTGGTGTGAGCGCAGATACGTCTTCAGGGTCGTCGCTCAGCGGTTCTAAAGGCCGCGAGTTGAGAATGGCCTCGATTTGCGTAAACAACGTTGTGAGTTCTTCCGTCGTGAGTAGAGTCTCCCCGATAGTCCGTCTCAGATGAAACTTCACGGATTTCACCACCGCCTCCCACTTGCCCCCCATGTGTGGAGCGCCTGGTGGGTTGAACTCCCATCTGGTGCAATCACGTTGTAGAATTTGAGCGATTCGTTGATGTTCTTGGGAACTCTGGATGAACATTTCCTTGAGCGCGGCGTCTGCTCCAATGAATGTTGTCCCGCAGTCCGAATATATGGTCTGAGCAATTCCCCTTTTCGCTGAGAATCTTCGGAAGGCTGCTATGAATCCTTCTGATGAGTAGTCACTGACTACTTCGAGGTGAATTGCGGAGGTGGAGAAGCAGACGAACACACAGATCCATCCCTTGTATGTTTTCGCACCTCGTCCTTTCCATGTTTTGATGGTGAGCGGTCCGGCATAGTCGACTTCTGTATAAGTAAACGGACGTGACGGCGTAACCCGAGAGAGAGGTAGTTGGCCCATCAGTTGATGAGCACGGATCCCCCTCTGTCGAGCACACACGACACACCGTAAAATATGAGACTTCACTGGAGCCCGTCCGCCGATGATCCAGTATTGTTGCCTGACATGAGCCAATGTCAGCTGTGTTCCTCCATGCAAGGTACGCAGATGGGCGTGTGCAATGATCAAGGTTGAGAACCGTGAGTGGCGAGGCAAAATCGCCTGATGTTTGTTGTCTTGAGCTAGTGCTGATTGGTTGAGGCGGCCGCCAACTCGGATGATCCCTTGAGCGTCTATATACGACTGAATGCGTGAGCAGTTGGTAGTCTCGAGTTGGCCGTGAGCATCTTGATCTCGTACGGGAAGTATGCCGCTTGAGTAGCCTTGATCCAGAATAATCTGGCCTCCTCCAAAGCTGAGTGCAAGTCTAGTGGCTTGTATCGGCGCTTTCTCAGAAGCGATATGAACCTGAAACAAAGAGCTGTTATTTTCAATAATTTATTGAGAGTTGAGTACCTAAATATCAAGTCCCAGTAATAGTCCGGTTGAGATGCGGCTGCATGTAGCGCAATGCCAGGACGAGCCTCATGCGCGCTCAACTCGCCCGAAAGCGCGGGTTGTGATGGTCATGCTTCAGGGGTGAGTATCCACGGTGGTCCCGTCCACCATAATGAGTGGCTTTGGAGTTGAGCAGTACTTAATCCTCGTGATGCGCAGTCGGCTGGGTTGGACGTACCTGGTACGTATTTCCAATGTGCGTTCGCAGTGAGCTCTTGAATTTGAGAAACTCGATTTCTCACAAAATTCTTCCAGCGTGATGCATGAGATTTGACCCACGTGAGTGTCACAACAGAGTCCGTCCACAGGTGAGTTGCTGTAACGTTCAACTTCAATGTGGCTTGAACGTATTGCATAAGTCTTGAGAGCAGCAGTGAGTTGCGGTGAGTTCAAGTCTCGGAATGGTGAGCCGCTTGAGCGGTGCTACCTTTGTTTTGGAGCACACCAATGAAATCGTGGCGCCATTAGAGCCGTGGACGGTGATAAATACGACTGCAGCCATTGCCAGTTGAGAAGCATCAGAAAAACCGTGAAATTCCACTGACGATGTACTCCATGTGTTATACCACCGAGGTATTGAGATCTTGCGCAAGCTGGTGAGTTCCTTTCTGATGGTGAGCCACCGTGATGAGAGCTGGGATGGCAGTGGTTCATCCCATTGGAGCTTATGAAGCCAAAGCTCCTGCAAGAGCATCTTCGCCTTGATCACGACTGGTGATGCAAAGCCTAGTGGATCAAATATCTGAGCCACTTCAAACAAAACGAGGCGTTTGGTGAGATGATCGGTGTGCGACGAGATCCTTGTTGAGAATGCGAATGAATCTTCTTGAGGAAGCCATCGTAATCCGAGTATTTTGGTAACGCAATCGTCAAATGTAATTTGTGAGCCCTGGTCTTTTCTGCTTGAACCGCAGTGAGCACGTCTGGATGAGTCGCGTGCCACTTGGCCAATGGAAAACCGCCCGCCATGCACAAGTTCTTTAGTTGCAATGCAATTTTGATTAGCTGTTGGACAGTGTCAACGCCTCCAAAGCTGTCGTCGACGTATCGACCTTGAAGGATGGACGGCACTGCAAGAGGAAAATTATGGCCTTCGTCCTCCGCCAGTTGCAGCAGCGTTTGTACTGTCAAGAACGGGGCAGCCTTGGTGTCATACGTGACCGTGGTTAGATAATATGCCACTTCATTGAGCAGTTCGTCGATCCATAGAATCCTTTGTAAATTCCAGTCATCCTTATACACGTTGATCTGTCTATACATCTTGGTGATGTCCGTGGCAACTAGGTGTCGAAATTGTCGAATCCAGAGCAAGACATCAGTGACGTCTAAATGCAACTTGGCTCCCGTGTGCATGAAATCATTAAGTGAGCGGCCAGATGTAGATGCGCTCGAGCCATTGAATACCACACGTAATTTCGTGGTTGCACTGTATGGTTTGAGCACTCCGTGATGTGGCAAATAATATTGCGTGTGCTGACTGGAAACGGGTGAAGCTTTCTTCATGTGATTGAAATCTCGATATTCTGTCATAAATTAATGATACAGACGTCGATAGTTGTCATCTCGGGAGAGTCTTCTTTGTAAACTTTGCAAACATCGATGCGCAGTGAGATACGAATCGCCAAGAGTATCAGGTGATAATTTTAGTGGAAGTCGAACTGTGTATCGACCTGTTGAGTACCGTGAAACAGTACTCTTGAAATGTTCTTTACATCTTTGCTCGTCAGAAGTAAGATCAAGATTGTTGCTCGCAGGCACTTCTTCCTGTGTCCAAAATCTCGACAGTAACTCGTCGAGAGCATGTTCCCTCTCCTGAATCGATGCATGATGCACTGCAGCAGATGCCGATGATGATGTGTCGACAGGTCCGAGAACGAGCCATCCGAAAATTGAGAGCTGCGCAATTGGCATCAATGTATCTCGTTTAATGATGTTGGGCTTGATGATCTGCCCATATGAGTCAGCTCCAATGATAATATCCACTGGCCGTGGTGTCAGAAAATCTGGATCAGCCAAGGTTAACTTGGTGAGATGCGGCCATTCCTGGGGTGCAGCGTTGAATGATGGTAGGATGTTTGTTAACGTCTTCAGAATGTGAGCTTGAATAATGACGTCTGATCTTGAGCGAAGTGAGCGGAGCTTGAGGAATGCAACTCCTCGAGTTTGCGTGGACTTTCCGCCACCAATTCCGGTAATGAGAATGACAGAATGATGACGAAGAATGTTGAGCTGACGAATGAGTGATTCAGAGACGAAGGTAAGTTCTGAACCTGTATCGATGAGAAGCCATACGTGCTGAGTATTAACCGATGAGCTGATCTAAGCCAGGGCCGTAGCGAGTAATGTTGAGTGTGATGAGTGGGCCAAAGATGAGTGAGCGACGATTGCACCATTGTCCTATTGGGATGCTGAGGCTGAGCTGGTGGTTGGCTTCGCTGATGAGTCGGTCTGATGTGCCTCATGCAGCATCGTATGATGTCGGTTGGTGCACTTCTTGCACCCCCGTGAGCTCTTGCATGAGCGGACGTTGTGACGGCCGAGGCAGTTAAAACACAGCCTCTGTGAGATGACTAACTTTTGTCGATCGCCCGGTGAGAGTTCCCTGAATTTAAGGCACGTCACCACGAAGTGCGTGCCGTTGCAGCAGTCGCACGGGTACACCGTTGAGCCGTCTGATGTCGTAGTGCGTGCCGGTTGAGCTGCCGCATGACGAGCCGTCGAGGAGCGCCGTGCTGTTGAAGCAACCCCTGCCGAGCTTCCAGAGCTGGCCGTAGACTCAATCCTCTCGAGTGCCCGTGCTCGAGAGGTGAGGAATTGCTCGAGCTGGTCGAATCGCGGATACTCGCGTGTGGCGCCTAGGGATGTCTCCCACTGCTCCTTCGTCTGGCGATCCAGCTGCCTGGACATGTATCCCACAATGTACATGTATTTTCAGTAATAAGAAATGAATAAAATGCATTTGCAGTTAGAAACGGATAGAGCGGGCAAATCATAATTGCATGCAAATGCAGATAGATATCCTACCTGGTTTTGCAATCAAATGCGGATAGACATTCAGAACTGGTTGCGTATAGAAACGGATAGGATTCGTATTTACGTTTGCGTATAGAATTGGATAAGTTCCGTTCCGTATAAATGCAGATAGATATTCTGTCAGGTTCCGCAATCAGATGCGAATAGACATTCAAAACTGGTTGCGTATAGAAACGGATAGGATTCGTAATTACGTTTGCGCATAGATTCGGATAAGTTCCGTTCCGTTAGGAATCAGTTAGATGCAGTTAGCCTTTCCCCACCGTCTTTGCGTACACAGTCTTATAGAATCTGCAACACTTTACATCTGTTTCTATCCGTACTTGCAGGGAAAGAAACGCATAGTAAAGCAGTCAGAAACGGATAGAATGCACGTTCTATCCGTTTCTAACGGTAAGAACCCCGCACAAAACCACGTGAAAAAGCCGTTTTACCGAATTGACTAAAACTTTGGGAATCGGTAGTTTATGTGATGTTGATCAAAAGTCTCTAGGCGCGAAATCCGAAAATGGCCAATTTTCAAGATACGAGAGGTCAAAAGTTGGGAATATGACCAACAGATCTAGCTTACATGGATTATCTACGCACGCCGCACGCATTACGTGGTTTTGTGCGGGGTCCTTTTTACCAGGGAGATGTACCCACCGACAAATTCAGAAGCAAAATCACATCTCATAGACGTCTTGTTACTTTGTTTGGTGAAAATCCAGATTACGAGACTGAGCTACAATATCGATGATCTTGACATATAATATATTGTCTTATAGTTTTAGAAGTGTAGCCACACACACACACACACACACACACACACACACACACACACGTGCACGCACGCACGCACGCACGCACGCGCGCACACACACACACACACACACACACACACACACACACACGCACGCACGCACGCACGCACTAAAACTTTCAGAAAAGTTAATTATTACCATGCTGATCAAAAATCATGATGGACAAGGAGTCCAGTTTTTGAGATTGTATGGTTAAAAGTCGAATTTAAAAAAAAAAACATTTTTCCGACTTTTAACCATACGTATCTCAAAAACTGGCCATTTCTGGACTACGTGTCCATTATGACTTTTGATCAACATAAGAACTAACTTTTCAGAAAGTTTCAGACGATTTAACCAAAATTTAATTTATTTCCATAAGGATGTGTGCGGGCTCCTTTGTCGATGGATACATCTATGGGATGTCTTTTAGAGAATGCGCTTTGCTTGTCTATGCAGTGTTATGGCAGGATATCTTTAAATCATTCTATATTAACCTTGAATAGATCACGATCTTATTGATATCTCCTATAGACAGCCATAAGACGTCTAAAAAAGTATGTGGAAGAGAAAGAGTAACAAGACGTTTATGAGATATGACTTTGTTTTCGAATTTGTCAATGGATACATCTATGAGATGTCTTATAGAAGATGCGCTTTGCTCGTCTATATACTGTTATGGCAGGTTATCCTTAAATCATCCTATATTAACCTTGAATAGATCAAGATCTTACTGATATCTCCTATAGACAGCCATAAGACGTCTAACAAAGTATGTCAAAAGGAAGGGGTAACGAGACGTCTATGAGATATAATTTTGCATCCGAATCTGTCGATGGGTACATCTATGGGATGTCTTTTAGAGAATGCGCTTTGCTCGTCTATGCACTGTTATGGCAGGATATTCTCAAACTATCCTATATTAATCTTGAGTAGATCAAGATCTTACTGATAGCTCTTATGGACAACCATAAGACGTCTTATCCTGCCAAGACGGAAATGGGATAATATCAGGATGATCCCGGGATCAATTTTGCTGTGTGGGAACTGACGAATAATGTAAAACATCGGCGCAAGTTACGACCGAATACGACATAACTGGAATAAACGTGAAATAATAGCGTGAAACGCCGCAAAACGATAGTGCGTCACGTTCGGAACGCGTGAACGTAAGATCCCAAGCCGTGCAGGAATTCGGTCGCCAAATACTCTCAATTTAATGCAAGTAATAATCTTTATTTAACGCAAGTAATAATTTTAATCTAACGCAAGGAATAATCTTAATCTAACGCGAGTAATAATCTTAATCTAAATGATTCGTCGGCGCGAGCAATATCCGGCCGTAATTAATGACGCGAATAATACCCGGACGCGAGAAACATCCGCACGCGAATAATACTTTAGTGCAAGAAGTCGAACACGGGCAAGATTCCAACGCGAGTAATCCGAACGCACTTTAATTGAACGCAAATACTTGGCAGAACGCGAATAATATTTTAATACAAGGAATCGGTCGATACGAACAACATCCTAACGCAAATAGTATGTCGACGCGAACGACATTCCAACGCAAATAGTAATATTCTAACGCAAATGACTGAACGCGAGTAATATTCTGACGCGAGAAGGACGTCCACGCGAGTAACATCTAGACGCAATTAAACCGACGAGATTAACATTTTAACGTAATTCATATGGCACGTGGAATCTAAGTTCCGTCCGGGCGAATTACTACGCACAACGAGACACGCGGTCGTGAACGCGAAGGGCGCGAGAAATGGCGTACTCGCGATATCAAACGTCGTCATTGACGCGCCTACCGCGATCTCCAGGAGTTATAGATTTCGGTCGCGATCCCACGGCCACGAGACCATTCCGGTGCCCCTCGCTTTCGGTGTCGATCGCTAAATAATTCGTCTTGGCGGCGAATACGCTAATTATCGCGAACATTCCCGAGCGAGAGCGCGACCCGAAGAGCGGTGTCGTGGCTTTACATTGAGAATTTTATACGAGGTAACCTTACCGTGAGTCAGTACTCTCCCGAGGATTTTCGCCGTCGCACGTCGTCCCAAGGGTCGAAAAAGATAGTCGTCAGAAGCTAACAGACGCACAGTGGGGCCAAATCCCAAAAAACTGGTCAAAAGTCGAAAAATAAAGTTTCGATTCTGAGGATTTAAAGTGGTGGGTTTGTTTGAGTAATAGTCCGAAGGTCGGATTCTAGACTAGAGAACGTCCTATCCCTTATATCTGCTCGTACACGTAACTTCAAAAGTGACGCTCGCTCGAACAAGACGTGTTGTGTTCAGAGCTGAGTTTTAAACGTTATATTCAGGAGGACGCCAAAACTATAAAAATAAAGCAATTCCAAATCTACAAAATGGATTCAACAGCTGGAAGTAAGTAGAATATTATCACGTATTACAAAATTTATAGCAATAATTTATGTGATATTAATAAACAAATAAGTTATACGAAAATGAACGTAAAATTGCAACGGAAAATTTAAGAAACGTAGAGAAAAGTTTATGAGTTCTGTAGAGTTCTGCGATCAGACCTATTGCATGTTGTAGATTCAAGTATTATTTAATGAAAACAACAAAGAACTGCTGCTTTTAGCTGCATTCCTGCTATTGGTGCAAGTTCTTGTAATGAAAAACAATTTTGTTTTGAATTGAATTGAATTTTAAACATTAAAAACGCAAAATATTCAAAAATGTTTCGGATAAAAGTTGTAGGGTTTTGAAATATCTATTCAAGAGTGTACTCACATTGTGGGCCCGGGGCCCTATATGGGCTCAGTTAAGCCCAAGTAAATTTTTTATTATATTAATCACCATTTTTTATTGCGCATTTTGATTCTACGGCTCAAGATAGAAATATTTTGTATCATGTCAATTTTTGCTAAGCCCCTTTCAAAAGGCCCAAAATTTTGACCCTTTAGAAAGGAGTTTAGCGAAAAATTAGATACCTGCTAAAATATTTTTAATTTAGAGCGTAGAATTAAAATCCATAAAAAATGATAATTAATAATTTTTTATTGTCACTGTGAAGAATATTTTAAAAATAAAAATTAAAAATTCAAAGTATAAGTTTTAATGAAAAATCCGCACGAATAAACTGGGCTAACTAAGAACCAGCGCGGTAAATGATGTGCAAAAGAGCCTGGGTTTGGTAGCACGAATGACGGGAATACCGCTCGACGATTTTTTGAAAACTCCAGCACTTCTGCTTCTATTACGGGGGTAGATGAAGATTTGATTAAACGGTTTCATGTTATATTGCAAGCAATTTCGTGTAGCCATGAAATTGATTTAATTAAATTTCAAGATTATGCTTTACAAACAGCTCGCAACTTTGTACAATTGTATCCATGGTTTTACATGCCAAATTCAGTGCATAAAATTTTAATTCATGGCGCACAAATAATCAATTCTTCACTATTACCAATAGGACAAATGTTCGAAGACGCACAAGAGTCAAGTAACAAATACATTAAAAAGTTTAGAGAAGATTTTGCGAGAAAATGTTCCCGAATGAAGTGGAAGACATTTTTTTTACGCTTACTATTAACATCCGATCCATTTATTTCTAGTTTGCGCAAATTACCTCAAAAAAAATTAAAATCGTTGCTACCAGAAACAGCCTTATTATTAATTGCGCCAAGTATTACAGAGAGTGAGGAAAGCTCCAGCAATCTAACAATTGAATCAACTGACTGTGAATCAAATTATTCTTCTGATGACGATGCATAAAGTTGTTAAATGACTGTATTATAATAAATATATATTTATTCTCCGCCCGTGTACACAATTTTTAAGTATGACTCAAATATTTCTATAATTTTGACGCACAATGATCTATGTAAGTTTAATATTTATTGTACTTTGTATCACGGTTTATTAATTTGCATTCTTGTAGCATGTGTTGATTATTATCGGTAATTTATGTTGTTAACTTGATAAGGATCCAAAGTAAATGTTGAAATGTCGCGGTCGTTATGTACCTACTAATAAATTACTGCCAGCCAGGCCGACTAATCTTGTTTTATTAAATATATAATTTATTTTGCAGTTCTCACTTTTTATTTTACTT